AGTTTTTGAAAGTCGCATGAATTTAGGAAGGTATTCTCAGAGAATCTACTGGAGCTCTACAACAAGGTAAACTAAGACAGGTAAAATAAGTAAGACAGGAGAGAGAGGGATTGGTAGATGGCATTTTCTTGGACTGTAAAAAGGCTTTTGATACAGTACTACACAAGAGACGTACAAAAACTTGAGGAGCAGGCAGGAACAACAGGAAAAGCACTAAAATGGATCAAGACACACCTGACAGGAGGGAAACAACGAGTAATGGTCTGTGATGAGTCGGAATGGATGTATGTGATGAGTAGGGGTCCAGAAGGATCAGTCCTAGGGCCAGTGCTTTTTCTTGTATGTGTGAATGACAAAAACATAAATGATAGAGTCAGAGGTATCCCTGTTTGCAGGTGACGTGAAACTAATAAGAATACAAGCAGACAGAGACCAGGAAAGGCTACAAGCCTGGTCTGACAAATGGCTCCTAGAACTTAACCCTACCTAATGTAAAGTTATGAAGCTTGGGGAAGGATAAAGAAGACCACAGACAGAGTACAGGTTCAGGGGGCAAAGGCTGCAAACCTCACTCAAGAAGAAGGGCCTTAGGGTGAGTATCATACTGAGCATATCCCCTTAAGTGCACACCAACTAAATAACTGCTGCAGGAAATGAGCGCCTGACAAATCTAGGAACAGCTTTTCGATATCTAAGTAAGGAGTTATTCACGACACTATACATGTGTACATCAGGCTGTTACGACTTTGATGTCATAACTTAAAATAAAATGGTCCTATAAAATAATGCTCCATAGTACCGGGATTGAACTGAAAGCAAACGCGTTTTATTCCTGTCAGTCAGGCAGTGGTCAGGACAGGAGCAGATGAGAGGTGTGTTTAGTTCAGTATGTGTAGGAAGGCAGCTGGGTGAAGTTGTCATGGGTTGGCGTTAGTGTGAGTAGGTGGTTTGGCAAGTTTTTTTTTTTTGTATGCTATAGGTAGTTTTATGTTGAAGTGCTCTCACGTTTATTTGTAAAGCCCTAGTATGCAGAGGCCTGTTTATGCGAAAGTACTGTATGGTGTTTTACCTGCTGGTAATTAGTCTATCAGGCAGAAGTGAAGAGGGTGGTGTGTATGTCAATGAGCCTCCCACACTGCGTAATACAGGCCCATATAATATAATAATAATAATAATAATAATTAATAATAATAATAATAAAATAATAATAATAATAATAATGGATTACACAGCACCAGTATGGAACCCACACCTGGTCAAGCATATCAAGGAATTGGTGAGTGCAGAGGTTTGCAACAAGACTAGTCCTGGAGCTAAAGGGTATATCCTATGAGGAGAGGGTTAGGGGATGCAACCTGATGATACTGGAGGACAGGATGACTAGGGGAGGAATATGATAAAGATGTACAAAATACTGAGAGGAAATGACAAGGTGAACAGGGACAGAATGCTTCAGAGATGGGAAATAGAAACAAGAGGGCACAGCTGAAAGTTGAAAACTTGGATGAATCATAGTATTTCTTCAGCCGTTGAATTATCTGGAAGTGGAACAATCTGGAGAGTGAAGTGGCAGAGGCAGGATCCATACATAGCTTTAAGAAGAGATATGAAAAGGCTCTTGAAGCCAGGAGTAGACCTAGTAGTGACCAGGAAAGAGGCGGTGCCAGGAACTGTGACTAGACCCCTGCAACCATATATATAGGCGAGTACATGCATATGTGCACATACACATGCACAGACATGCGCACACACACAAACAATAAAAATCAGCATTCAAATAAATCACAAAAGAGTCTCAAGGGGATTACTGGATAGCAGCTCAAGGCCTTTTTTGCACCTGTCCCCAGTGCCCCATCAGGAACTAGCAATATTGGAAAATTGAAAACTGATATGGAAAATCATGGAGTGAACTGGAATGATAATACTTGGGCATGGACTTCTGCTAACATTGTGTTAGCTGACCTCACGTATGCAGCAACAAAAAGTGAAAAAGGCCTTGAGCTGCTATCCACTCTCCTTTGTGCTGTTGCACGCATGCATGCATGCATATGCATGCATGCATGCGTGCATGTGTGGGGGGTAATGTTTTCAGATCACACATCAGGGGACTGGGGGGTTCACTCCCCAACACAGGTGAAACACTGGGTATGTTTCCTCACACCTGCTGCCCCTGTTTGCCTAGCAGCAAGTATACCCGAGTGTTAGCTAACTGTTGTGGGACTCATCCTGGGGTACAGCATTACATGACCCCAATGGAAATAAAACAGTCTTCAGTGACAAACTGACTTCATTGGGTTATCTTGGGTTACCAATCTGAGTTTATCCAAAAGTATTGTTACCATCGATATTGGCTAATTTTGATCGTATGGGTACTGACCTAAAATTAAATATAGGCATCAACAATAATTTGGGAAACATCACATCCCTAAGAAACACACACACAATCCCCTCATTTGAAATTCTCTGCCCTAGTTAATTATACTCCATTCAATATCAAATGTATTGGATAATTTATACCTGCCCAGTAACCTATCCACTGGCTTGGCAAATGGATACTCGCAGCATATCATTATATTATTCTACCTTAAATATACCTGCACCATCCATTATACATTGTCCTGGTTAAGTGATAGCTGCCTTTATCACCTTTTCTATAATCATTTGATTATTTAACGACATCAACCACAGACCTGCGGATATACAAAAACTAAGCTGCTTTTGGTTTGCACTATACGTCACCTCGGCTATCCTTTACATAGATTGAAAAAGAATACACTTGATTTATTGTCTTTAACAGTAAAGTGACATAACAGCTGCTTAAGTTTGCTTATGAAAAAAAAAAAATTATGCTGCTTTTCCTGGTTTTTACCCAGAAATATGACAATTTTGTGAGGATTTTTAAGTGGAACTTGCAGATTTGGCTTATTGGGCAAGCATCGTTTTGTCAAACAAGCCAAAAGTAAACTCATCATTTTGATAACTCTGCAAAAATAATTCTGAGTATCACCAAATTAATATATTTCTCTACATGTTATTAAATTTTTAAATTTCAACAAGGTTAAGTTGGTTTTGGAGCAAAACAAATGTACAAGATAAGAATTTTAAGGACCCTTTTTTTTATAAAGCAGGTCAGTATGCTTGACCAACTTGCTTATCAGGGGCATCTACTTGTGATTTTGGGAGGTAGAGAGCAAAACTTGAGTTGTGCCCAGTCTTCTCCATGTTCGGGTACAGCCTACAACCGACACAGGTTTCTTTATAGTGAAGGTATGAAGTATACACTATGATCGTATTGTAAGATTAGACCTTTAAGTCACATATGATATACACAGTTTAAGCAGTGCATATATCTGGGTCTGTTAATCTGTGGTCCTGTATGATTTAACACTTGATACGATACAAAACACTTAAAAGCCATCTGAGCTTACATGGAACCACTACACATTTTGATTATTTATTCTCGTTCATCGGTATTGTGTGCATGAAGCAGTGAGATTTGACGAGCATAGCCAAGGGAAGCAAAAGTACCCTGTGGTTACCAATAACAAGTACCAAATGACCACAGCATAGTGGCTGGCTGAGGGACCATGGATGTGCCGTCTACACCATTACACTCGTTGTAAATAATACATCCTATAGACTAGAGATCAAATGTTGTGAAATTTCTCTATAAAAGTTTCTGGTAAATTTCTCTCTCTACCGTAAGGGTGTTTTTTTTACATGTTGGCACTAGGTGCTATTTAACACACTCCTTTCCCTGCCATATGTCATAAATATGTCACTAACCTAATATATCTATCAACATGATCAGCAGCAGTGGCTGTAGCTACCACCAATTGGTACAAAGATGGTAGGCAGCATATACACTTCCATCTGCTTTCAGTCCCATCATGCCTCTACATGAATTTATTGGACCAATACAGCCAATATTAGTGAACCCCTACACCACACAACCTCCTTTAATGCACTTTTACTCACCCCTTACAGCCAAACCTCTTCTCAACGGCATAAACTGATATTTTGGCAGCATACTCAGGACGAAGTGAAGTTCTGAAGGTTGGAGAGATGAAAAGCAGATGAGTGTAGACCACATGGAGGTTAACTTGGATGCATAAGTAGCAGTAGCAATGTGGCTTTGAATTAGCCTGTCGATACATGGAGAATCATGGCCATATGTAGACATGGGTAAGAGGATAATCATGGCTAAAAAGAGAGGAAATTGGAAGGCAGGCAGTGGAGGTAGCAAGATAAAAGCAATGGATGGAGGAATGGTGGTGATGGCCACACAGTGGTGAAGGCCACTCTTCACCTACACACAGTCCTCCATGCTCATTAACAAAGGGTTCACATACTCAAACCCCTCGAATTCGCTCTGGTCGATGTTCTCGATGGCACGTCTGAAATACACAATAAAACAGTGTTAAGCTCATACTGTATATGTTAAAAGTGTCATGGTCTCAATAGAAATATGTCACAATGACTTTTTTTGGGGTTAGCCTTGGTTAAATCTACATATGTTAAGTAATACATATATATGTATGTATACATATCATCCAAATGCCCTAAGAACCAACTGACAAATTTATACCACTGTTCATAAAACTATCTATAGACTTCCAAAATAAAATTTATGTTAACAAACCTTAACAATTAAACACAAAAAATACCAAAATCATTCACCAAGCACATATATAACCAACCATAAGTAAAATGAACCCACATTGTCATATCACTTATATGACCTGTCTCATGTATACAGTGGACCCCCGGTTAACGATATTTTTTCACTCCGGAAGTATGTTCAGGTGCCAGTACTGACCGAATTTGTTCCTGTAAGGAATATTGTGAAGTAGATTAGTCCATTTCAGACCCCCAAACATACACGTACAAACGCACTTACATAAATACACTTACATAACTGGTCGCATTCGGAGGTAATCGTCATGCGGGGGTCCACTGTATACTGTACATCGTATAAATTTGATTCGTGTGTAGCTCTTCAAAATCATGATTATTTCAACTCCCAGGAAACTTTCTCTTTAATTCATCCATATCTGAGCACTTTCAACCAGTTTCTAGAATGACTTGTTCCAAAATATCAAATTGCCACAACACTGAATCACGGTCTGGACATGTATATTGAATCTTAAAAAAAAAGAAAAAAAGTTTAACGCCTAGCTTAGATTTTTATAAGAACCCACTTGATGCAAAATGACCTAAGTGGCAAAAAAAGAAAACTACACCTAAAAGCAACAAAGTGCATCATATTTTGACAATGCACAATTGTTAGAAATCAATCACTTGAGTCATTTTAAGGGTTATTGTTATGCAATGAATGTAGAATTTTTTTATGACCACTGTGGACCATACAGCACAAAAAGTGTAAAGGCTCGATCCTTCATCTCCTAAGTGGCAGAGAAATACTAACAATAATGGGATGAAAAGCTTATTAAATGTATCCTAGTAATTGCAAGAAGTTAATGTACAATTAAGTCCAGATTTGTGCTGGGGTTATAAGCATAAAACAGTGTATACTGTGTACTGAAACTCATGGATAAAATTATGCTGAACTTCTTCACACTATATAATGTAGACAAGACATATAACATTGTAAAATGCCAGACAATAGCATGAGGGGCAAGTCATGAAAATGGAAACAGCCTGTAAACAAGGTGTTGCCTGATACAAAGGCAAAATATATTTTCAGCACTCAAACAGTGAAAGACAGAGATAACACCAAATCATATTATATCCAACATTGTCAAAATACTCAATGGGCTGACCATTTTGAGTAGCCCTAATGAAGATATATATATGTACTCAAAAGTTTAACCTCAGCTCATCTGATCTCTAATAAAACCAGTGACCAAGGCATGCCTCCATGCCTTGCATACACACACAAAGCAGGAATCTAGTAATGTATGACAAGTAGAGTCAAGCATATAAACTAAGGTTGTCTACCAAAGTGGTTAATACACGTTTAATATTACTGTGGACCCTCCATTATCACAACACATATTCACCAAGAGGTATATTTTCTTCAGTGTATATACTGAAAATGTTTACTCTAAAATCTAGTTTAAGGATTAAATCATTCTTGATAGGCAGTGTACCGGTATACAGCCTTGATTCTCTTTACGTAATCAATAGGATTTGAAACCTAATGAACCAATCTCGATTACCCAAATGCAAAGGTATGCTGTCAACAGTAATGACTTGATAAAGTTCTGGATAAGACGTAACATTTTCACAATGAAAGCTTCCTCGGAACCAGTGTCTTTTTTCAGGCAATTATATGAACTGCTATACTTTTATTCTGTATCATGGCTAACCTACCAATTTCTGGTTAAGATAATAATCCTTACATTAGAATTAAGTCAAAAGCAAGATTACAACTACAGTTGTGGAAGAGAAGGACAATACATTCAGACCAGTGAGTGCAACATGTTGGTAAGCCGGTTCCCGGACAGATGGCCAACGGACATTTGGCCAATAGACATTTCACCGAACGGACGAAATGGCATTCTCACCTATCCTAACATAATTTTCCGTTCGGTCTATTTTCCATTCAGCCAAAAGGCTGTCGGTGCAATGTCCGTTTGGCAAATCACCCTTTAGTTAAATGTCTGTCAGCCAAGTGTCCGTCGGTCATCTGTCCGGCCACGGGGTAAGCCGTATTACCCACAGCGCTAACGGCCACCCCAGTTTAATGTGCCTTTAAATACCACCCTTTAGTCACATGAATGAATTGAATGAATAACTACAGTAGATGCATGCATGAATGAAAATATTATCTAGTGATAAAGATCCTTATTAGGTGATTTTTCCTAACTAATAAACAATCACAAACATCTAAGATTAGATTCCAAGTTAGATAGGTTTGAACAATCTACAAAAGTAAATACAAAAGTATAAGTATATAGGAGCATATAACAATAATAATTATCCTTATTTCTACAAGTACGTGTACATGATACGACTTATACAGACCTAGCTGATATCACTGACATACTATATAGAAAGCCCCTGGTTATGCAGAGCATTTAAGACAACTTAGGTTAATTTTGTCCCCAGGATGAAACCAGTCAGCTAACACCCAAGTACCTACTTACTGCTATGTGAACAGTGACAGCAGGTGTCTTAAGGAAACATGCTCAATGTTTCTACCCTTACCAGGGATCGAACCACAGACCTAAATGTGTAAGCTGAGTCTATTGAACTACAAATGGTTATAACTAGGACCATAATTTTTAAAGACGTGGACCGGTAAGCCAGTGGAAGGCCTCAGTCAGTTGACCAAAAGCTCCAACGGCAGGTCATCACCTGAAGATCCGCATCAGGAAACACTTGTCCTGTTTCTTGACGAACCTTACCTAACCTGTAAGCTGAGTGCACTACCAACCAAGCTATGGAACACCTCTTTACCTCTGATGAGTTTCGAGATTTTTCTACTCCTGGAGCTAGGTCCTGGGCCAGGCTTGTTTGGCGATTGCCAAGTCAACCAGGTGGTTGTTGTTGCTGCTGGCGGCCCCCCTGGCCGGATGCTGTCTGCCTGGTAATGATTCCAGAGATGGTTGTTCCAGTGCCACAGTGTCAAACCACGGAGTTAAATGCAATGGTTGGATGAAAGAATTGGTGGCTATATTCCCCTCAAGGGAGGTTCTTTGATGCTAGTGAGGGGCTCTTAATCCAAGGAATTGGACTTGCCCTCCCCTAACCTTGGATTGAACCTAAATGCCTCCCAGACACTATATGACCCTGATGGGTTTAGTGCTTCCTCATAAATATAATAATAATGGTGGTTACATTGATAAGTGAATGAATGGAGCAGATAAAAGTATGAAGTGAATAAATGAATGTATGGGAAAATAAATTAATGAATTGATGAACAAATGAATGTAAGGATAAATGAATACATGATTAATGAACAGATAAAGTTAAACGAAGGAATGAATGTATGAACAGATAAACAGTAGATGCTCCACCACAACTTACACACACACACACACACACACACACACACAGTAGTGGAGGCTTCACCATACACACACGTGCGACCAGTGAAGAGGCGGGGCCAGGAGTTGCGAATCGACCCCCACAACCAGGTGAGTATAAACACAGTATGTTGAAAATGGTATAAAATATCATCAAGCTGATGATTTTGACATGTGCAACAGTTAGGTATCGTTATAGTTGAAACATTTCGCCTACGCAGTAGGCTTCATCAGTGAAATATAGAGAATATAGACACCAGGAGTAGTATAAGTTAGTTTAGGCACAGGTACACACAAGGTACCTGTTTAGACAGGTACACACAATATACTATGTATGATAATTGTACATAATTCCATCACCCTTGTAGAAATATATTGAGGTGGTCAGTCCCTCAGCCTGGAGAAGAGTTCAGCTCCATGGTCTGGAATCTTTCTCCAGGTTGAGGAACTGACCACCTCAATATATTTCTCCAAGGGTGATAGACTGATTACATCTTTACCTTGCCACAACTGCTGCCTACAATACATTCTCCTCTGTATTTGACTCATGAAGCCTACCGCATAGACGAGCGAAACGTTTCAACAATAGATACCCAACTGTTGCACGTCCTAATCACCCCACACACAGTAGTGGAGGCGACACCAAAACCTCCACACACAAACAGTAATGGAGGCTCCACAATCTCCACATATACATCGTGGAGGCTCCACCACAACTTCCACATATACATAGTGGAGGCTCCACCACAACTTTCACATATACAGTAGTGGTGGTTCCATCACAACCTCCAGATACACAGTAGTGGAGGCTCCGCCACAACCTCCCCCCACACACAGTAGTGGAGGCTCCACAACCTCCAGATACACAGTAGTGGAGGCTCCGCCACAACCTCCCCCCCCACACACATTAGTGGAGGCTCCACAACCTCCCAACACACACTAGTGGAGGCTCCACCACAGCCTACACACACACCATAGTGGAGGCTCCACCACCTCACTGCCGAGTGTTTGAGAAAGCAGGCACATCAAATCATACCCAAGAAATGGCTGCTCACTCTCCTGCCACACCATAAATGCGCCGAACAGTGTTAAAACCCAACACTTACACGTGATGCACATGTTCAATACTCTCCTTGAGAGGGTAACTCATCCACGTATCGTACTACCCAATATGAGAAAAGTCTACCGCACTGCTCCTCTATGTTCCCATGAATAATCGTGTAATTTATTTATTGCTTTGCGTGTTAGGCTATGTCGTGTCATAATAAACATACCTCCTTTACAAGGCTACTTGTAAGAAATATTTAAAAAATCTAAAGAGCACAGTTTCCTATGTTCTCCACAAATTCCTAGATTTAAATGACCTACTATCTACCATAATAATGGAAGGTTTCGCTTTGTGC